GAGCAGGTCAATTGCAGAGGTAGCTGCCAAACATGCATTCCCGGGGGGGGGGGGCTCTCTCTCCAAGGAGTCTAACATCATGTTTACTAGGGGCTCGAGAGCACGTGCATTTTCTTGCATCCATGGGAGGTCCTGAAACCAACCTTCCATGTATATCAGTGGTTCCCAATCTTTTTTTGACCAGGGACTACTTTGACAAGGGACCACTCTCCAACATTAGTACCAAAAGGGTTATGAGTCAGTTTTTGGTCAACTCTACATTTGGTTTGGTTATTTGGAGTGCTGATTCAGAAAACTGCATTGGATAGAGCACAATAGCTCTAGTTTCTGATACAGAATATATGCCATCCACTAGTCACCATCTGCTCATCCACAGAAAACCATATTTAATAATCTAGAACTGATATGGTCTATCCAAGGGGACGGGGCTAGTCAGCAATAGAGGAGTGGAAGGTGGCATGAAATTTTTTATTTATTTATTTAGAACTTTTGTATCCCGTTCTTCTCTACCTCTGTGGCTAACAGCAAAAATTCAATGCTATACAATACAAATAAAATAAACTTTCTTGCCTTCTCAGTTCTACAACACTCTCTCAGTATCTACTTCACTAAATGAGAAGGACTACAGCCTTCACACTGCACACACCATATACACAGGTCATACTTACTTTTTCCTGTGAGAATGAGGCCTCACTCTCAAGGCTCTCTGGTAGGGATTGGTCTGTCTCCCTCCGTGCTTGTTTAGTGGGTGGGTGTTCCTCAAACAATGGTCCCAAAGAAGGAAAACCTTCCACATTTAATTCTCCTCCTGGCTCTGTCCCCAAATCTGAGGACAGGTTTGCATCTCTCTTCTCTGTAATTAAAACAAAGGTTCTCTGAAAATCAACTAAAGAAAAATCTGCAGTCACTGCAGAGACAAGGGAGTGTAAATAGGTATATATCTTAGAAACTACATAAAGTCAATGAAATGGGTTTTCTTTCCCACCCTCAAATTTTATTTACTGAGTTCTCAAAGGTGGATTTTGGAATATAGCTGTCATACAGAGGAGACACTGAAACACATAGATTGAAGTAAATTAAAATGATACAAGATGCAATTATATGAACATCTCATGACACAAGCCTCCACTGCTTCAAGATCCTGTAAAAGTCAGAGACTTAACAATATTTGAACAAGATCCACAGATTTAAAACACAACAGGAACTGTTGGGACAAGGAGTAGAAGTCCATTTGGACAAACATAGACAACTTTATGAAAGATATAAAATGGACAAAAATATAGATAAAAGTGTTCTTGCCATACATCAAGGGAACCACTGACCGCATAGGGAAGCTGATGAGGAAATACAATATACAAACAATCTACAGACCCACCAAGAAAATCCAACAAATGCTACGTTCAGCAAAGGACAAGAGGGATCCTCTCACCTCTGCAGGAGTCTACCGTATACCATGCAGCTGTGGACAAGTCTACATAGGGACCACCAAACGCGGCGCCCAGACACGAATCAAGGAACATGAAAGGCACTGCAGACTACTTCAACCAGAGAAGTCAGCCATAGCAGAGCACCTGATGAACCAGCCTGGACACAGCATATTATTTGAGAACACAGAAATGCTGGACCACTCCAACAACCACCATGTCGGACTACACAGAGAAGCCATTGAAATCCACAAGCATGTGGACAATTTCAACAGAAAGGAGGAGACCATGAAAATGAACAAAATCTGGCTACCAGTATTAAAAAACTCTAAAATTACAACAGCAAAACAGCAGAGAGGAAACAAACAACCAGGCACATCTTAACACCTCTCAACAAAACATTTTCCCAGGCTCAGCCAGGCCTTCAAATGCTAATGAATGTGGTCAGCTGAAACATTCACACCTAGCTGCAGCAGAGAGCTCTTTGCCCCACCCCAGTCATTCCACAGATATATAAACCCATTTTCCTACTTCCAACAGACCTCACTACCTCTGAGGATGCTTGCCATAGATGCAGGCGAAACGTCAGGAAAAATGCCTCTAGAACATGGCCATATAGCCTGAAAAAACCCACAAGAACCTATGTATAGATGGTTTCTGACACTTTGCTAGTTTGACACTAGTCAAACTAGCAAAGATGTACAAGTGCACGAAACATGTATGTTAGAAATGTGAAACACAGTAAGGTACTTAGTATCATTATCTGGTTCCATTTCAATCTCATTTTAGGCCCAGCTGAGACTGCTTTGGTTGCCTTGGAAGATGATCTACACAGAGAACTAGACAAAGGAAGTGTGTGCCTGTTGGTTCTCCTGGACCTCTCAGGATATCGGCTATGAAATCCTTCTGGGCCACCTAGCAGGAATGGGACTTGGAGTCACTGTTTTACAGTGGCTCCATTCTTTCCTGGAGACAGACCCAGAAGGTGGTATCGGGGAATTCCTGCTCGACCCCATGGCCGTTTTCCTGTGGGGTCCTGCAGGGTTCTGTACATTTCTGCACGTTGTTTAACATCTACATGAAGCCACTGGAAGAGATCATCAAGAGTTTTGGAGTTCGGTACCACTTATACACAGATGACACCCAACTCTGTTTTGTTACATGAGAGATATCCTGGCTGACTGGCACAAGGAACCATCTCAAATATATTTGGAACTGGACTAATAAGTTTTTGTATATACTGAACACATGAAAGTTGTGAGTAAACCAAATATGTTATTTCCATCAAAGTCTGCTTCATTTTTCTCTCTTGAATACATGATATGAAAAAAAGTCTTTTTTATGGGAGAGCACATTTTTGGGCACTGAAATATAAACATTTCTAAAGCTCTGCTGTTTTTATGAACTGGCAAATCTAATTTTTCCTGACAGATCTGAAATTGCTGGTTATTCAGACTAACAACTGAAACTATTGCCTATCCCAATTACATTTGGTTGTATACCACAAGAAAAGATTATGCTCTAAAGGGTTTTTTGGCTCTCCTTTAAAAGGCTATGTTCTCTAATATTTTTACTGTATTTTCAACATGCTGGAAGCCCCTTTGGGTCCATTTGTGGGAGAAAAGCAGGATATAAATAAAGATTTATTATTATTATTATTATTATCAAGTAAAATTGTCAGCCCCTGGCAGTCTTTAGAACAAAAGCATGCTCACAAAGGATGTTCCTTGGAAAAAGCTTTATTACTCCTTCTTGCCAAGGAGAAAAGAAAGCTAGTTCTGATCATTTCCCACCAAACCTGTAGTATATCATCTAGCTGACCCATGACCCTCCCCATCTACTTGTAATGGCTACATTCCATTCCCACAGAACATGTTACATTTCCCAGGTTTCTCCCCCCACCCCAGTCCAGATGGCTCTTATCAGTACTCCCAAAACTGGCATGAAGTGGACGAAGCAGCTTTCGGTTTTAGCTGATATGGACACATCCTGACAAAAAGAATATTAGAAATTGATACAAAATTTGTTATGAGAGATATTTAAAATTCAACTCTATTTTTACTTTTTCATGATTTAAAAATGTTTGTTTCAAAAGAACAAACAAAAACTACCAATCAGTCCATTATGTGATTATTGCAGCAAAAATACTCTATGCATAAAAATGGAAAGTTAAAAAATTATCCCTTAAATGAAAATTAGATTACAAAAGTTTTATATTTGGCAGAAATGGGCAAGTTCTCTTGCTTGATATAAAGGAAAAGTCAAGTGATAACTTTTTTAAAGAATGGAAATCATTTATATCATTGATAAAGGAAAAAAGAAATGTCAAAATAGTGGCAGCTTTTGAAGATTGAATAAAAAATTAAAGTAATGAGGTAGAATGAAGACACTACCTAAAATGATAGATTAGCAGGATTACAACAATAATTTAACTGTGTATTTTTGAGGTGGGAGGTAGGAATTTCATTTTAATATTTTATTATAATTGTAATTACGGTTTTTCAATGGGGTAGGTATGGGAAATTAGCTTAAATTGTGATACAAGTCATATAGGGGGAATTTTATAAACTGTATAATTATACTTAAATTGATGAAAAAGTAATAAATATATAGATTTTTTAAAAGATCCTGTAAGAGGGCAACAGAGTTTAACACATAATGTGCACTTCACAATATCTTTCAATCACCTTCAGAATGTGCTATATTGAAAAATTCCTGCAATTAAAGAGCAAACATTCTTTCTTTCTTTGTAACTGCACTACCATTCCCAACATTCTTACCTTTTTTCTATGGAGGCTTGGATAATTTAAGCTGCAGCTCAACAAAAAGACTAATCCTCTGACTGGATAGGAAGAAAGCCGCTGAGTTGCAGTTCAGCCAAATCTGGGGCTGATGGGACTTGCTGCCAATCCCTGGCCAGACGTGGGGCTGATGGGAGTTGCAGACCAACTGACAGGTTTTGAGGGGGGAGGGTGAGAGACTGATAAAAGATCATGGGAACTAGTCCAGCCATATCCAAACAATCGGATGATTCCCACCCACAACTGAGGGCATGGCTCTCCTCCTAACTGGTCAGAAGGCTCAGCTTCCCAGGTTGCATCTCCCAACATTCTTATCTCTTTACTAGACAGACTGAGGGTGAGGAGACCTGCAGCCCAACATGAAGGCTGAGCTCTCTGTCACATGACTGCCGGAGTTGCTTTACTTCATTGGGGAGGGGGGGGAGATATAGTGTCCCATGCGCCGCATCGCCCAGCTTCAGCAGAGGACAATCCCATGGGGGAAGTGTAGAGTACGTATGGAGTGCTCTACACTCCATGTGCATGTCAGTGATTTTAGCCCAGTGTGAAGAGGCCGGAAGAGAAGAGCCACAAGTTACAGTCCAATGAGATCTAGGGGTTGATGTGAATTTACACCCGGCCAGATCTCGGACTGATGATAGTTCCAGCCTGACTGTTGGGGTTCAGCCTGAGTTTGAACTTGAACCTGATTCTCTGTTTGTTCCTCCTGATGCTAATAAAAGTATATTTACTGATGCTAGTGGAAATGTACCTTTTGATGCCAATGCTCCTGAAATTAGTGAGGAAGAAACTGCTGTAGGTTTGGAAAATGCCAATGTTCCTGAAATTAGTGAGGAAGGAACTTCTGTAGATTTGGAAAATGAAAGTACCAGTGTTCCTGAGAATGTTTCAGAGGGAGACCTTGAACTTTCCCTCCCTTCTGCACCTGTTAACTGTAATGACAACAGAAGGGGCCAAATTTGGGAAGACAGAAGTAAAACACTCAGTTTGCGTCGATCCTCCCGAATTCAAGAATTAAAAACATTGGCTTCAAAACAGAAGGGCGGTTCACGGAACCGATTCTTGAGTTTTAATTGCAATACGCCGGGCTGATTGTCTCAGTTCAGGCATCGTTTCAGAATTGATGAAGACCTTGGCAGTTCTCCCGGTTCCCTGGCCATAGTTTGGGAAGATTTCTAGGATATCAAGTACGGTTAGTGGATTGCTAACAGATTCCAGTATTTTCCCAGTGAGGCTTTTGGTTTTGCTTTGTCCATTTAAATTCATGTTTGCTGATTTTGCTGTGGCTTTTGACTTGCATTTTTCCTTTATTTTGTAACCATTTTTCTTCAATAAAAAAGGATTGTTTTTCACAGCCAAGTGTGGTGGATAGTTATCTTAGGGCCTCGTTCCCTGTTCTGGATTGCAACACTGACCAGCTCCTGGGCTGATGGAAGATGAAGCCCATCAGCTGTACGATTTTTTAAAGGTTCCATTTTGATTGGGACCATGCATTTTGTATTGAGACCATTCATAGAACTGAAAGCCAAACAATAAGTGTTTATAATAAATAGCATTACAAAGCACCTAACTCAGACCAGGCTGGGTATTTACTGTAGTGTAATAGAAAACATAAAAAATACTATAAAAGCAATCTGCATAAAATAGATCTCACTTATTGATTTATACTTAATGATGTAAATAGCTTACTTTGTGTGGTGGCAGGAGGAATGAGCCTCTTTCCACAGTTACTGCAGAAGTTGTTTGATGCATTTTGTGGCTTGTTACAGGCAGGGCACTTAAAGCCCTTTTTGCGTGATTTGCGCCCCAGGGTGAATCTTTTGACAGTCTGTTGGAAAACAGGAAGACAAACAAATTGAGGGAGAAGGAACATTAGTCACATGATTTGGACACTTGCTGTTTCACTGGCTGTGAAAAGAATATGAACTCAAATATTTCTGTAGAGGGACTTCTATGGGAGAATGGATAATGAAATTTAGTACTACCAAAGAAGAAAATCAGTACTATTAACTGTTTAAGATATTGTCATAACACAGGACGCTAATGTTATAAACTAGGCATGGGGAAATTTTGGCCCTCCAGTTGTTTTGGACTTTAACTCCCACAATTCCTAATAGCCTCAACCCCTTCCTTTTCCCCCTCCGCTACTTAAGCGGAAATGAAAGGAAGGAAGTGGCCTAAGGCTGTTAGGAATTGCTGGAGTTGAAGTCCAAAACACCTGGAGGGCCCAAGTTTGCTCCTGCCTGTTATAAACCATGTTTTGCATAATTTTAAAATGGCTAAACATAGAACTGATCAAAGATGTCAAAATATAATATAATAATTAACAATATAATATTGTATGTACATATAACTTGTAAGCCGCTCTGACTCTCCTTTGAGGTGAGAAGGGCAGCATATAAATGTCGTAAATAATAAATAATAAATAAAGCTGTATTTTTAGATCTTTTAAATAGTCTTCTATGGAAAAACAGAACATAATTAAAGCTACGTAAATTTGCTTTCCGTGAAAATATTTAACACAGTGCATCACAAGAGTAAAAAATACAGAAATACTGTACAGCATTATGTATTGCTTGTGTATTGCTAATCGGTTCTTACACCTAGGGCTTACAGTTTCAGTCATATTTCCATCTTGCCACAAAACTTGTATTTTCACGTAAGTTTGTTGATATCTCCAAGTACCCGTTTTTGCGTGTACTTGTCTTGAGAAAACACACTTGTAAACCCTTGTCCGACTTTTTTTATCTGCATGGTATGAATACATTTATAGTATGTTTGTGAATAATGTTGAATACCTTTATCACTATAGCTGACAGAACCTCAGGATAGGTGTCTCAGAGCACTGATCGCAGTAAAAAAAAAATCCTTCATGAAGGTATTATTCTACTTGTGGGTTCATGCCCACTTTTTCAAATCATGTAACAATGCCCATTTACAGCAGTCCCTTCCATTTGTAGTTTGGACTTCTGCAGGTTTGATTATTCACACACTTGATTGAAATGTTCTCCAAAGCTACTCCAGTGTGGCTCAATGGCAAGTCTGGGAAAACTTGGGCCCTCCAGGCAGGCCCGTAGCCAGGATTTTGTTTCGGGGGGGGGGGGGGCTGATTTTTTTTCAGGGGGGGGTTTGGGGGGGCTGAGTGTCGGGGGGGGGGGGGGGGGCTGAGTCTGAGTGAAAGAGGGTCTAGCCTAGCAAACCTTTTGTATCATTACCCCAATACCCCCATGCATATGGGATATATTGAGTATGGTGATCAGATCATGATATGAATAAACATAACAGTTTAAATAATGCACCAGTAAGGCCTTTTCGCGAACCACCATGAGAATTTCGGGGGGGGGCTGAAGCCCCCCAAGCGCCCCCCCCCCCCGGCTACATGCCTGCCTCCAGGTGTTTTGGACTTCGATCCCCATAATTCCTAACAGTCTCAGGCTCCTTCCTTTTCCCCCTCAGATGCTTAAGCGGCTGAGGAGGGAAAGGACCTGAGGCTGTTAGGAATTGTGGGGGTTGAAGTCCAAAACACTTAGAGGGCCCAAGTTTGCCCCAGCCTGCTCTATGGCCAATCCCCTCCATTCATATGGAAGACTTAGAGATTTCTTGAAAGAACACCTCTCTGGGGATCTCTAGAGGCCCTTCCACACCGCCCTATATCCCAGAATATCAAGGCAAAAAATCCCACAATATCTGCTTTGAACTGGGTTATCTGAGTCCACAGGATGGGCCCTTCCACACTGCCCTATATCCCAGAATATCAAGGCAGAAAATCCCACATTATCTGAGTGTGGACTCAGATAACCCAGGTCAAAGCAGATATTGTGCGATTTTCTGCCTTGGTATTCTGGGATATAGGGCTGTGTGGAAGGGTCCTGGGTCTCCAGTGTGTGTGAAGAATATAATTGTGAAGGAAAATCTAGAAATTCCTACAAATTTGTCCTCTCAGGTAAAAGCATATCCATTTCTTTATTTGCAGCTTTCCACTTTCTGAGATTCTGACTATATTGCAAGCCCTTCCATTTCCGGCAACAAGACTCGGTTTAAAGCGCCTCGTTTGTTCTACCGCCTCGCGCTAACCCTCCCTATTCTTCCCCTCCCGCGCGCGCACCGGCCGGAACAACTGCCCAATCAGGGGCCGCTATGCAAATAAGGGGCGAAGGTTCTCATCAGCTCTCCACATCCCACTTATGACCCAAGGATGCTCCCGCTCTGACCAATCGGAATGGGAGAAACAGCATACTGTATGCAAATTCCTCCGGTTCCCTTCCTGGCGCTACAAGACCCGGAATTCATTGCCTGGTCAAAAGTCTCGCAAGACTGGCCTTGACCTGTTTGTTTGTCACACTCCCGTGAAGCTAATACTATTTTCTCGCAAGGAGTGGAAGGGAGGAGGAGGASGGGCAGCTGGGCTATAGTTTCTCTTTTGAGGCAGGAAGCCAGGAAGAAGAGAACTCAGGCACCTAAAGCTCCGRGGGAGGGGAAAACAACRACAACAACAACCAAGCGGAAGTAGGCGTTTTCCCTACCTTGTTTTAACTGCTGGAGAAGTAATAATAATAATAATAGGATCAAAGCGCTCTCCCACGCCTTTTCTATAGGATCCACCCACTTTCTCTTGGAAGAAGAGTCAACTAACGGAGTGTAAACTTTTATTGCCTTTTGTCTCAAGGGTGCACATTCCACACCYTAAAATTAATGCGGTTTAACTGCCATGGCTCATTACTATTKGTAAAGGCCTAGTACAACTCCCCTGATTCCCTAACACTCAAAATGAGTGGCTCCTGAGTTAGCAAGTACAACAAAATAGCCCACTTATATACAAAATGGAAAATAAATAAGTTCAGCCAATAATGTGACTGTTGAAACTTATTATACAGTTCAAAWTCGCAGTAATCACTTATTTATTTTCCATTTTGTATATAAGKGGGCTATTTTGTTGTACTTACTAGTTCAAGTAGTTCCAAACTGTGTTAATTCAACGATTTAGATGTACTCTTARTYCCAACCTGAACCAAAAAAAGGGGGGGAGGTTGCATCTGCTTGCATTGAGATCCCTCCAGAAAACAATATAATGATGAAGAAGCCAGTGGAGCTTGGATGGSTTTCGCATATCGTGCTACTTCATCCCCCTAGAGAGCTGTTTAAAGGCTCCTCCTTAAACTACAGACCCCAGAATTCTGCAGAAGGCAGAAACTGGATTTTAAGTGGAGTTTTTTCTCTAGTGTGAGGAGGTCTCCTGGTTCTGTGCATTTGGATGAGCAGGTCTTGGGTTTCTGCTGCTGTATGGCCAACATGGCTGACCCTGAAAATGGAATCTGAAAGTGTTGGAAAGGAAGCGCCCCAATGGCTTATTTTTAACCCCTGAAGCCTCCTTCAAGCGAGGAGACCAAATTATGCTTTCTTTTTTTCTGGTTTTCAAGAATATTATAAACTTTGGGAACACTTTTAATGGCTAGGGCGCCTACTTGGCTTTACCAGCATGGTAGTTTCCTTGGAATCATTTTGGTAGGGCAGGAGGAGTCACAAGAGCTAGTAGCAATGGGACACAACCAGTGAAGGATGCTCCCACCTTTCTCTACAACAAGCATGGGCAAACTTGAGCCCTCCAGGAGTTTTGGACTTCAACTCCCACCATTCCTAACAGCCTCAGGCCCCTTCCTTTTCTCCCCCAGCCGCTTAAGCGGGGTCAAGGTGAGTTAGTTCCACCGTGCAGGCGTGCCCTGAAAGGTGCGACAATGCTCCCTGGAGGGATGATATTTTTGATGCCTTCAATATTGCAGGCAAACGCCTTCCCATGCCCAGCCGAGCATCCATCCTTGGGACTTGGGACTCACCTCCTCCGCCGGGTCGGGAAAGGCGCCTCCTGATCCGCAAAGAGTCCTTCTCAATCCACCAAACACGCTCCGCTATCTGCGCCCAGCCAAGCCAAGCCTAGCCTCAGATGCCGGGAAAGCGCTTTCGCTTTCCAAAGCGCCGCCCCGCTCTCTTTTTCCTGGCGGGACAGCGCACAAGGTTTCGTTTCCCGAGCTCGGCCTCCGCCCCTTTTGAGCCCCTCCCTCCCTCTCTCTTTCTCTCTCTCTCTCTCTCTCTCTTCCTCCCTCGAAGCGCCCCGTAGAAAGAAGCCCCCCCACCACCAAACTGCAAGCCTGGGCAAACTTCGGCCGTCCAGGTGTTTTGGACTTCAACTCCCACACCCTGCTGTTAGGAATTGTGGGAGTTGAAGTCCAAAACACCTGGAGGGCTGAAGTTTGCCCAAGCCTGAGATAATACTGTAGGTATTAGATATAAACAGCCATGGCTTCAAAACACCCAGCAGCGGGAGGCTTCCTTTGCTCCAAAGGTTCAAGGAAATACAGCAATGCTTTCTCTTCTCAAGCAGACAAACACATTTTTCTCCAACCCTAGACCTTTCACAAATATATATAAACCCCACTAACTTAGATTCCAACAGACCTCACAACCTCTGAGGATGCCTGCCATAGATGTGGGCTAAACGTTAGGAGAGAATGCTTCTAGAACATGGCCATACAGCCCAGAAAACTCACAGAAACCCAATGGTTTCTCTGTGAGGATGCCTGCCATAGATGTGGGCTAAATGTCAGGGGAGAATGCTTCTGGAACATGGCCATACAGCCCCGAAATCTCACAGCAACCCAATGGTTTCTCTATGAGGATGCCTGCCACAGATGTGGGCTATATGTCAGGAGAGAATGCTTCTGTAACATGGCCATACAGCCCCAAAAACTCACAGCAACCCAATGGTTTCTCTGTGAGGATGCCTGCCATAGATGTGGGCTAAACGTCAGGAGAGAATGCTTCTGGAACATAGCCATACAGCCCCGAAAACACAGCTTTCTCCTGTGAAGCTTTTTTCTAAGCATTCTCGCTACATTGTTAATTTCTACATACTTGAGTTGTCAAAATTACAGTACCTTGAAATAATCTTTTGTGGTGGCTTTTACTTCTCCCGTGGAGCAGATAGTTGAGTTAGTGGTCTCTCATTCGGTGAGGGGGAGGGGGTCACCAAACAACAACAATATGATCACATTAATAATTTAATATATTTTTTTCTATTCTGTTTTTCTATAGGTTTTCCAGGATTTAGACCGGCCTTTCTATGGAGCAGAGAATGAACTTCTAAGGATTCACAAGGGCTGGCAGTTTGGACAACAAACTTAATGTTAAGTTCTAATTCAGGAATTTCACACAAGCTTGCAGCTGTGTGTGTGTGTGTGTGTGTGTGTGTGTGTGTGTGTCAGAAGCGACTTGAGAAACTGCAAGTCACTTCTGGTGTGAGGGAATTGCCCATCGGCAAGGACATTGCCCAGGGGATGCCTGGATGTTTTGTCATCCTGTGGGAGGCTTCTCTCATGTCCCCACATGGGAAGCTGGAGCTGACAGATGGATGCTCACCCCACTCAGCAGTTCTGCAGGCACAAGGGTTTAACCCATTGCGTTACAAGGAGCTCCTAGCTTGAATCTACATTTTATGTTCAGTGTAGACCCATACAATGCAGTCTAACCACATTGAACTGCATTGTATGGATCTACACTGACCATTTACAGCAGTGTAGATCCAGGCAAAATGTGCTAGAGAATAGCAACTTCCAGGCCAACAAAGGTGCTACTATCCCCACTCATCCAACCACCATACATAATCATTGAAATGCAGCTTTCTGAGCACTGTCCACTACTATTGTAAAATTCATTTTAATTCATTCTGGGAGGTTGTTTTTGTGCTGTTCACATTCATTTGCAATTCCCCTTACTTGTAAAACTAAGAATCCTGTATCTCTTTAAAAATTGCAAACTATTGCAATGTATATTTTGCAATGTATATTTTTGTGATTGAATTCTGCTCCACTCAATAAACAGGTTTATCTTTGGGCCCTTCCATACAGCCCCAGAATATCAATGCAGGAAATCCCACATTATCTGGGTGTGGACTCAGATAACCCAGTTCAAAGCAGATATTGTGGGATTTTCTGCCTTGATATTCTGGGATATAGGGCTGTGTGGAAGGGCCCTTGATTTAAATTAACCTCTTTAGCCATTTAAAGTGCCCTAAATCTAGTTATTGGTTTTGCCTTGTTATTAATGCGTTCACATTGTTGTCATGAGTGGACTTACGGTGACCTTATGAATGAAAAATCTCTAACTCAACTATCAGCAGCAGAATACCTGTCAGCACAGAGCTCCACCATGGAAAACTGCCAGAGCAAGGTACTCACATTGCACTTGATGGCTTGTCCACAATGTTTTTATTGCATAATTATTTATTTTGTAGCAATAAAGTGTTAGTTAATTATAATTATCATCTTGAGTCTGGTGGCCTTGTTTGTAGTTAGCAAATATCAATTCACACCGATTATCGTTATATGAAGAGGGTGTAATCTAGAGGGCAAACAGGATAAAGGGCCAGATAACCTTGTTGATTATCAAGTTTCAGCCATGCCAAAGTTTGTGCTACAGATCAGCTGAAAATTAATAATCAGATGTGTTTTTATTTTTCTTTCTTATTGCTTGAAACTCATTTATTTCTTCCTCAGGCTTTGGTTGCCTTATGTTCAAAAGCTTTTCAGCACTCATTTGGGAAGGCGGGGGGTGGGGGGGTGGTGGTGTTGAAACTTGATAAGGCTTTCAAGAAATGACTTCCCATTCAGTTTCATTTCTTGGACCCATTTACAGAAACTAAATACTTAGTCATTCCTGCAGTGTTTCATAAGAAAAAAAAAATCTTGCTGCGAGTTTAAGGTCAGAAGTGAAAGTAAAGTCTGAACATCAGACCCACCCTTTTTGGACTGAAATGATCTGGTAATAGCAAAACAACTAATAAATGAGGAGTGGCCTGTTGCATCTAGCAAGAGAGGAGATATGTTTTCAACCATGGCATTTTGTCTTTCACAAATACAGTTCAGGACGTTCCTTTATAAGTCTTTTCTTTTGCATTTAAAATGCTGGATCTCAAAACACTGCAACAGAATGAACTAATACAAATGATTTATTATTAAAGACAAAAAAAATTATTTTCTAAGCAGGAAGATTTTTAAAAATGTACCCCCCAGGTACTGTTTCAAAGGGCAGTCCCTCTGATTTTCTCTTATCAATACATTATTTTCTTTATTTTGCCGTTTCTTTTCTACAATGCTGAGTGTACCTTCTTACATTACAGCTGACATGGTGGGGGCACTAAAGAGAGAAAGATCGTCTATTTTATGGTGTAGTAGAGGGAATTGAAGGAAGAAAACAATTTCCCTAATTTTTGCTAGTTATTCCCCCCCTCCCCCCGCCATATCATAAACTAGGGTTGCTTCCATGATGGGGACATGGGTGGGGGGAATAACAGGAAAACAGGGAAGTGCTTGTACTCCTTAGCTCCCCTCCCCCCATACAATAGACTATTCTCTCTCTACCACCCCCTGCTGGCCTCCGTCCAGATGATGGAACAGCACCAAAATTCTTAACTTCAGTTAAATTCTCAGCTGATGATGTCTCCAATGCAGGTATGGGCAAACTTAGGCCTTCCAGGTGTTTTGGACTTCAATTCCCACAATTCCTAACAGCCGGTAGGCTGTTAGGAATTGTGGGAGTTGAAGACCAAAACAGCTGGAGGGCCCAAGTTTACCCATGCCTGCCTTAGTGCATATCAATACAATTGTGTGTATGTGTATCTATATAAACATTATATATATGCATATATATATAATGTATATCAATACAAATGTGTGCATATCAATACAAATGTGTGTGTGTATATAAACATTATAGCTGTACGTTTTAAAATGTGATAGCACATTTAGACCAGAGACCACTTTAATAGAAATAAGAGTGGGATGATGTGGCCAGTCCAGTTCCTCCAATGAGTCATGCTGCAACAGAGTTTCAGGTACCACCTGTTCATTGTTTTATAAACATTTTCTTTAAGGTCGTAGCACCAAATCTGGATGCATTCTAAACATTATGATTACCTTCCATTTGTTGGCTACTGTATAGATGTAATACACAGTCTTGTAGTATTGATATTAAACTGCTTGGTATCTCTTACTAGTCAAGTTTATTTTGTTTATTCAGGTGCGTCCTTGAGATTCAATGTAGTCAAAACAACACAGGACATGGCTTAGATCTTTTTCCAAGTAAGATCTTTCTTTTATGTAACTTATATAAATAAAAATCCATCCCCTTGTCGTGGTGAGGGGGCTTGCGCGTTCCAATGAACCTGTAGGCACAACAACTGGAGTCGTGCACTCCCAGGAGTGGCCGCGGGGGAGGTTCCAGACCAAGCACAGTCCGAAGACCCAAAGACCTCAACGGCGGAGCAGGCGGAGGATAACATGGCACATGTTACAACGGCTGCGAAGGCGGAAGAAGGCTGCAACAGACTGAGAAGCCACGGTCATTGTGTTAAACTACATCACCAGTGGAACCTCACTCTGTGAAGTCTGTGTGTTGATCAGTTGTGCACTGACCTCCACACATTAAAAAAACCCACGCACAGGCGTCTTCCAAAGAAAATAAAAACCAAGCAACCAAAGTCCCATGGCGATCAGCGAGTGGCGACGGGGGCAGGACTGTGAAATCTGGAAGCCCCTAGTCACAGACTGGCACATGGGCGGTGGGTACGGACTCAGTCGTTCTACCTCAAGGTCCGAGGCAGTTGAGTAGTTCGGCAGCTGTATCCGCGACTGAGCAGCCCTATTGAGGACCCACTCTGCTCACCCCACATGGGGAGGGGGCTAGAAAAGGTGCCCTAAACATAGTCTGTCTCACTTATCCCTGACTGGACTGCCGCGTCCAGTGGGGTCACCACCCTGCGGCCAAAAAAGGAAAATGAACTTCGGTACGTGGAACGTACGGACTCTGATGGACAACAGTGGCAGTGAACTCCCCGAACGCAGAACTGCCATCATTGCAAGGGAGCTGGGACGCTTCAACATCGACATAGCAGCCCTTCAGGAGACCCGGAGAGCAGGAGAGGGACAGCTGAAGGAAGAAAAAG